ACACACACACACACACACACACACACACACACACACACACACACACACACACACACACACAGAGACAGGCATATCTGAAAGCTGTGGTAGACAATTAGAACATTTCTCTCTAGAAGTCCTGCACAGATGACTCACTGAAAACAAAGGATACAGAGAAATCTCTTCTGTCTGCATTGTTTCATTGCTCCAAGATGTCTGTAGCCTCCAGAGGCAAGAATTAGGATAATTTTTATTGATTCTGTGTCATTGTCTTTTGTCAGAAAGGTTTGGTACTGTGCAAGAAAGTGCTGGACCTTGAAGCTGATCTTTGTGAGTAAAAGGATGATCTGTATCCAGCAAGAAAAAACATAATAGGAGTAAATACTGTCTTACAGCATCTCTTCATAAACTTGAAATTTTCTGGTGGTGACATCTGTGTACTCTCGATGTCATGATACTAGCAGGACATAATTTTACCCTAACTGTACAAGTAAATATTAAATTATGGGTACTCCTTCAGAAAAGCTGGTACAATGTGGCATAGACAGGTCATGTTTTGCTCTCACAATGCCAGCTTAAATTACAGACAATGAAAATGAGTAAAAACTACCTACGTTGAACCTGACATTAGTAAACTTAATACACAGACTATGTGAATAGCAGAAATTCCTCATTGTCTTTATACAGAAAACTAAAACACATCTATAGAACTATTACAGTTAGTGTAAAAAAATTCCTGTCAATGAAACATACCAGTATTTTGGGGGTGGGGGGGTTTGCTAGTTTGAGACATAGCAGACACACATCTAACCTGCATAAAAATAAATAGACTGTAACTAATGTCTCACATATGTAAATACTGTATTAGGTGCACAACATGCATGCATATTAATCAACACATTTGTGTAAGTAAGATTTAAAATGTTGTGATTTGATGAGATAACTGGCATGTTCGAATGACTGAAGGTGTCCAGACTTTGCTGAAGAATTAATCAAGTTAATCTGAATACATACAGGCAGGTTTTGAAGTCACTGAACTATTTTCTGTGGTTTAGGATTTCTCAAGTTATACTGCTTCTTTTCTTATTAAGTGTATTCATAAACACACCTATCATTTCTCTTGATGGTGTCTGACTTCTCTTATACAGGAGCAATGCTGAAGAAACTAGTCAGGTGGTACATAAACATGCAGATCTCAGAAGAAAAATGTATTAGTGAGAGAAAAATTTTTTAAATTATCTTTTCTTGTAAGGAGACATTTTCTCTGGGGTTATGTCATGCATCAAATCAACAGCATGCCTCTGCTTTTGAACTCAAATATAATGAAATTGAAAACTGAGGAATAAGAATCTTACACCCTTCTAATTATTTCTGCTTGTTTCATTTAATTTGGGTAATTACTTATTCATATGCAAAATGTACAGGAGTAGAATTTCTATCCATTGTTCTGAAAGGCAATACATTAGCTGATTTTCACAGAAGTAAAACAGTTGTAAACCATGACTGAAATATTATTTGTTTTGTATATTAGGAAAAACTGGCACATTCTGTAATGCAAGTGCTTCTGTATTTCCAAATACAAAACTTCACAAGTCTTACCATAAAATTGAGTTATTTAATTAAAAAAATATTATTTGGACCAAATATCAAATACAGCGGAGTTTTAAGTGAGTGGAGCAATTGATTGTCAACTTGCCCTTTGGTCATAAATATGGGTTACATTCCAGCACACAGAAAATGGCTGCGCTCACCGTGTCCGACTTGTCAGTTGCTGATTTCACCCCTCAGTGAGGTGACTTTATGGCCATACAGTTCTTCAAAACAGATTGCCAAGTTTTCAGTCCCAGCATAATTGTGCTGGTGCTCAGCTGAGTGATCATGAAAGCAGCAAGATGACCATGGGGCAATGACATATCTCAGTCACAGTGCTGGGAGATCTGTGCTGGGATACAATTCATATAGAAGTCAAAGAGAGTGTCAAATTCCTTTTTCATTTGGATGGTAAATCTACAGTCCAGGTTAGAAAAGATGTGCAGTGTTGTTAGAACAGATCAAGAAATGGATGGCAGCAGTTACAGCAGGTCAACTATTATTTCTTCTTTATTGCTTTTTTAACTGAAGATCAAATTTTAGTTGCAGTGAATGGTTTGTGGTTTTTACTTGGTTTTAAGATAATTTGTCTTTTCATTGTCTGTTCTTGTTTCTTGATGTACTAAAGAAGAACCATAGCCCAGACTTCTCTGCATTTGTCACAATGCAAGACATTGCTTTCAGTTAAAAAATTTAATTAAGTTTAAAAAATTAGTAAGTTTTCTGTAAAATATGTAAAAATATTTGATTGATATAAAGTGTGCTGGATTATGCCCTTTTCTGACTTGTGACTGTATTTCCAGACCTTGTGATTGTAAATACTAATCAACCATAGCCAATGCATGAAATAGGAACTATTCTCAGAAATCAGATCACAGCTGTGTCTTTCTCTATTTTTGGTGTTTTATTGATGATCCTAGTTTTTCTTCATTTTTATAAGTTTTGAAAAGTCAGAAAATTATGCCAGCACAGATTGTCATGATAGATTTGTTCTAAATATCAAAAGATATACAAATGCAAGATTCCTGAGCAGTGCAAATTAGAAAAATCTGTAAAATTGCCTATTTTATTTTACAATAATTACTTAATTCTTGTAACTAATGTGTAAATACTTATCTCTCCATTCCTTGTTTTTCTCACTGTTTTATCTGTGTCATCGGATATAGAAAATGGATCTGTTTCTTAAAAAAAATTCAGTTAGTTTTACACAAGCATCTTCTGTGATTGTGTATTCTGTATGACAGAATCCCAATTCTTTTATAGAAGTCCAATTTTTTGTATTTTATTCACTTTAGATTCCAAAGAAATTTAAGGTTTATTAATAATATAACTGTAAGGATTTTAATGAGGATATATTTGACATTTAATTTCACAAGCACTGAGTTTCGTAAAAAAGCCATGTTCCTCGTAATAGCAGGAAACCTAGCGCAATTACTAGGTAATAGCAGACAAAGACATGTACCAAAGTGGGAGAAATGTTTCTGCTTACAGCAGATTGTAAATATGGATAATAAAATCATGGTATTTCTTCCCTTCTCCCTCTTCCCCATCCATTCTCCCTCTTCCTACAATTCGAGAATGGCAAATGTACCTACCTTCACAGAGGTAGTGTACCTTTGGGCTTAATAATGGCGGTTAAGTTTTAAGAGAAGAAATCTCCAGCATGCAGGGTGTGTGCAGAGGTATCACAGACTATGCAGCATCTCCAGCTACAGGATCAGGTGCTTAGGATGTGCAAGACCAGCTCTCCACTCAGTTGCCATGGTTTTACACTAGTGCATATTATCAAAAGTAATTTGAGTTTTTTTCAGCATTTTGTGGCACAAGGGTCATCTTTTGGCAATGGGTCTTTTTATGGTTACCTTAAAAATAATTTGCTCTTACTTTTCTTTCTTCATTCACCCCATCCCTGGGGTGTTCAAGGCAAGGTTGGATGGTGCTCTGTACAGTCTGATCTAGCAGAAGGTGCCTCTGCCTGTGGCAGGAGTGTTGGAACTTTGTTTCTTCAAATTAAAGGATTAATTTCTGAGTACAGTATGTGCAGAAATAGTCTTTTGGTTCCTCTTCCTCCCCTTAGGAGTTGTTTTGAGGTACTAGACTATCTTCTAGTTAACTGCTACCTTCTCAGCCCCCATGGCACCAAACAAGAGAGGAGAAGCTTCAGTGGTCTCTGTGAGATTGCTTCTTGGGAAAGTGCAGCACATCCGAGGGCACTAGGTCAGGGTTCTTTCCATCATGCTGCACGAACCTGGGTGACATGACAGGATATTTGTGGGCATCTTAGCCACTGCAGTAACCCACATGCTTGTAAGCACAGACCTTCATTTTCCAGGCTTTTAAATGAAAACATCAACCAAAATGACTTAAAGGAACAGGCAATTTTTTAAAATATATATAACATTAAAATCAGGCAGCAGATCAGGACAGGCATCAGTCCCAGCAGCCTGCAGCAGCCTTCATAATATGTCCTAAACCTCAGGATGCAGCTTGGCATTACAGCTACACCATCCTTGTTCGGGTGCTGCAGCAGGCTTTCTTCCTTTTTCTTATTTTTGGTGTTGTTTTTTTTTTTTTAAATTGTGGTCTTTTACTGCATTTTATTGCAACCTTACATTGAGACTCTCTATCCAGTTTCATCAAAAGGAAAACACTTGTTATGTCTTTGTTTATTAGTTGTTTCTAGAGTGAAATTTCTGGTGATCAGCCAGATCTTGCTGTTGGTGGATCAGGTACCAGGCAAGTGGCCATGCATGCAGCTAGGATTACTGGCTGTGACAGAGCGCTTTCAGTTCTAGAGTAAGGTGAAACAAATCTAGTCCTAGTCTGTTTAAGAATGATGTCTCAAGACAACTTTAGTCTTTAGTCCATATTGAAGTGGTCCTATTTCCATTTGCCTGTATATTACCTCTCCTAAGTGGTTGCTCCCAGTCACTCGTTTCCAGTGTTATGAGCACCTTTGCTCTTCTGGTCCTATGGTGAGGCAGTTCAGGGAATTAAACCAGCATGAAAATATTTGTATTCATTAAAGTACCCCTCTGCTGCTCTAAGCATGTCAGACATTTGATAAATGTTCAATACCCATTAACTAGGCCACTTCTCTCTTTTGCAGTGTGTGACAAAAGAGCACTGAAGTCCTTCTGTCCAAGATCCCACCTGTACAAGTAGTGCTTGTCCTAAGTACAGGCTTGTTAAGCATCTGGAAGCGTTTTCTTCCTCACATTCAAAAAGTGCCTGCTAAGTTGAAAGGATGGTGTTAATGATGATTTAAAAGAGAAGGTTTCTGATTGTGATCCATTTCTTTCTCTAACCTCAACATTTCTTCATTGTAACTTTCCACTGTCTTAAAGATTTTTTCTTTAAGATTGTTTCCCTTCTTTTGTTCATGTCCATCTTTCATTACAATTTCTCCTTTTTTATCTCTTGTTTTTCAGTTGCGATCAAGCTCAGAGATTGGCCAGGACATCCTGAATGACTGCCTTGCAATCCAGCCCCTCCAGCCAGCCCTGTCACCACAGGATGCTGTAGATAACACCATGGGACACTCCCCAAGGCCTGCTTGTGATATTTACCCAGGTACAAAATAAGACAGATAAAAAGCTGCTGTATTATTCTCACTTAATAATAGTGATCATTTTGTAGAGTGGAATGTGCTCTGAAATCCATAACTATCTCATAAAAAGGGTAGAATATGAAAGGCAATATAGAAAAAGAACATGTTTTTATATGTTTTTCAGAGGGAAGGAGAACCAATCATACTATATCCATGAAAAGACTTAATACAACATAGATGGATATTTTTTGCTCTATAGGCATTTGATTCTGCTACCAATTTACTTCTACCATTCCTTGGAGACATCTTGATACATTACTTAATTTAAAGTCACAGTATTTTTTCCTCTGCCTTATTCAGGGATCACATACCAGTTTTTAAATTGATCTACAATAAGGAAGTGAAATGTTCCATTATGACTTCACATATTTTGACTATAAATATACAATAAACACATATATACTAATAATGTAATAATCCTATTGTATTTTTTCAGTTAAATATGAGATTTTCCTACTGAAATACCTTTGTCATACCTTCCTACATGTACAATTTTTTGTTAACATTTGAAACTATCAGTAAGTTACGAGTGACAATAAACCTTAAAGCTCAAGAGGGCAATGGGCAGGATGTTAACATTTTTTAATGCAATATTTTAGTAGTTGTGTGGGCTTCTGTTTTTAACTTTCAGGCAAAATGCATTATGTTTTTTATCACTCCAACTTTTAAGTGAGGACCAGGCGTAGGAAGTGAATGAATTGGCCTCACTGATGTTATCTGCAGTGATGAAAATGACATTATATGAAGTGGCCACTTCAATAAGTGGTTTTATTTTATTGAGAGGTTTGTAAAGCTGGCAATTCTATTTAATGTTTATGTCAAGGCTGCTGTGAGTCACACAATAGTTGGTATGATGTAGGTTTATATGACAAAAATCAGGACATTTAAAGCTGTGATTTATTATATTCTATTTTATTAAGTGGTTGTTATCACTTGTATGCTGTTAACTTTTAAATGCCTTAGTCTGAGTACCAACTGAGTGTGACATTTACTATGGGAAAGAAAAGGGAAATTTTAGGTTTTAAAAATGTGATTTTGGCCAGAGAAACTCTGGGAACATGTAGTTGGTTATAGTTGTTTATTTTACATTGTGCATTGAGAGGGAGTTGGATAGTGAGGAATGTTGAGATTTTTTTTTTTTTAATTATTTATGGTTTTACCAAGTGTAACATGCAAAACTGAGAAATAACAAAGATTCAGCATTTTATTTTCTTTTCAAGTTCCTAGACAGAATGGAAGCTGGGATGGCGCAGTGTGTCAGATTTCAGAAATTGAGGGTATTCTCACAGGAGATGGCCACAGCAGTCTGTTGAGCACTCCTCCCTAGCTTCCAGGCTGTGCTTAAATGTCCAGCTCTGTCTGCTGGGTCAGTCCAAACACAGGCTGACAGTGGCTTGAACAAGCAGCTGCCCAAGACAAGCTGGGTAAAGCTGCTCTGCTGCCTCCAGCCAGCCCTCAGCTGGCAATTGTCTGCCATCATGATGTTTCATAGACAGCTTCTGAGACTGAGACATAACTTTCTGTAGTCTCATTCGTGCATTGTCTTTCAATACTTGATGTTTGCAGCACCACTAACTATGAACCTTCTTTGATATAATATTTTGGAAGTTTCTTTCATGGCACTGCTTCCTGTTAGATGGCAATTTTTATGGTAATTAAGCAATGTAATCTTATCAGTATTAATTTCTGTGTAAATAATAATCTGCTTTCTCTTACGTCTTCCCAGCTGTCTATAATTTGGCAAAGTTCTTGTAGTTCTAGTAATTTGTGTTGTTTCACATCAGTTAGAGGGTACTATGTCAGGCATAAAGCAGTCCGTGTCACTCCATTTTGACAACTACTTGATCCAGTTGAAATAAATAGTTTCATTAACTACTCACCAAGGATACTGCAGGATGATATACTATGTGAACAAATGAGATAAATCTGGCAGGCAGGGAATTATTTTATTGAAATGGAAACATGAAAATTATTCACATCAAATAGAGAGGAAAGTAAAATGCACAAAAACCTAAGTGTCTTGCCTCAGAAAATCTACCCTTCAAAATTTACTGAAAACTTTTTTTTTTTTAATATAGCTTTGGGACTTATGAAAAGTTAAATACATTATACCTCAAACTGGGTACTGTTTGAGATAGCACATTAGCTGAAATGTCTCTACTTTTAAAGTAGAAGGAAGAAAAATTTTCATTCTTCCAGTAGTGTCCAATCAAACTGTTCTTACATGAAGGTGACTTCACTTACTATTGATGCACATTTAAAGCAAAGGTAGCTGTTTTTCTTGTAGAAGAAGTCTACAGAGTAAATGTTTGAAAGCAAATTATTATAAATAGGTCAGAAATGTCAGAAGTACATGTTTAGATGCAAGTCCATTTTCACTTACATAGTAAAACACCTGTAGTGACCACTATATAGTTTCTCAGTACTGATGAATTACAGAATCTATAGACACAGAGACTTTTAAATTAAATACAACAATAACCTTTTTGAATACAGATCTATCACTTGGTGTTAAGTCTTCAAAAGAGCTTTTTCTTATCATGTAGTCTTTATAACTTCATAGAAGAAATCCAAACTGATTATTATCTTACTAACACAGTGAGGTAGCATTACAGCTTCTTTGCTTAAAACTATGACTAAATTATGTTTATGTGTCTAAAGCAAACAGAATAAGGGCTAAGCATTGTGAAAGTATCCATGTTTAAATTTTGAACAATACCTAGGCATTTTGGTTTACTCAATTCACAGAATGAAGATGAGAGCAATACACTCATATTAACATGGGCATGATGTTTTTTTCCTGTTGTGAAATATTATGAACTTACTTTGTATAGAGCAATCTGGAATCACTAAAACCATAAGAATCATAAGTAATGCAGTGGAAAAAACCCCATCTTTTTACTGTACTGTTTGGATAAAGCTTGACCATTTCATATTTAATCATCAGCCAGAATATATAATTGATTTATAAGTAGTTACTGAATATCACACTAAGTTCTGCTCCAGAGCAAGCAAAGGATCTTTCTAAAGCTTGTCAAGTGCATAATTTTCTTTGAAAGTTGGAATTTAAAAATTATGTCAGTAAAGTTACAGAACTTATTTGAATTCTGAGTATTTTTTAAATAATGTCTTACGTTGTATTGTGAAAGTTTGATCTAACTACTTCTATGTGTATGACTTGCTGTGCTTTGCTTGAGTTGTGCTTTTCTTTGTTTTTTTTCCTCACTGAAGTTCTACTAAGTTGGGTGCTCTGTTCACATAATAAGAAAAAATCCAATCCCCCAGGAGTTTTTATCTGAGGTAATGATAGGAAAGTAGGTAGGTACAACAGGCAGGTAGAGATTAAGGACACATACAAGAAGAGATTAATGAAATTATTAAAGAAATTGTCCTAGTGAGTCCTAAGAGATGTCTGAAAAAAAAAATCTGATTTTCTTTTTTAAAAAGTGGTCTGTTATTTTCTTTAAAAATATTTTTTAAGGATGATAGCATTGGAAAGTAGTTACAGCTCATTCCTGCAAAACAAAAACAAGAATGAGAAGGAAGAACTGACATATGAATGGCCCTTGCTATGAAAAACAGAATTGTATTTGATGCATAGGGAATGGATTTAAAAGGAGCAGTAATGTAAGACTACCAATAATGAAGAGGATCTCTGTTTTCACTGTTTAGGCTGAATTTAATTATTACATACATATCTAGAACACCTGCTTAATGTGATGTAGTCATAGGTTGGACCATACACACATTACAGCGGGCAAAAAAGTGTTAATAATATTATCTTAGTTTAAGGAGGATAGTTTGCTTTCCCTCAGACTTGCCCTTTTATTTACCAGTTTTACTTATGAGTTTATAATTTCTATTTTGGGACAACTTCATGGTTCTCCAAAAATTGATATAATGTTTGGGTTCCCATTTTTAAGATCATTTAACAACGGGCTACTACAAACATTGTAGGCAACACGGCCACTTGCACCTTTTGTAGTTCCATTCATCATTATGAGACTGAAATTCAGAAACTGCAATCCACTAAAAGATAAGAAAATGAAAGGCAGGGATGTGATCCAGAGATGCCATTTCAGGAATGGCTTAAAAGACTAGTCCCTGCTTTATTGCTTCAGTACTTTAATCTTTTCCAGTAACTATGATCTACCTGTAAAATACCTGAAAAGACATAGAAAGGCAGTGCAGGTGGTCAATGTGACAGACCAGCTTTGGAGACAGACTTATCTTGAAAATGCAATTTTTACTTCTGCTGTACTTCTTAGTGCATGATGGCTTCTTGAGTTTCATGTTCTCTGGAGACTTCAGATTTACAGGTGAGCTGAGGATAAAGGTAAAACAGAAAATAGGTTTTTCCTTAGCTGGGCTTACCACTTACAACTCAGCACATATCCACATACTCCTGGCTACAAAATCCTGTGGACTTCCTAAGGGAAGTGAAAGAGGGGAATATATGCAGGTGATGCTTTCAAGTGCAAAAATTATTTTATATTTTTCCTTCTGCGCAATAGTAAATCATTTGTTGTCAAGGAGCTCATAAATATTCCTTACAGAAATAGAAGGCTGTATTTAGTAATTAAAAAATAAGGCAACCTTGCAAATGTATGTGTGTAACTAACTGAGCTACACAATTAAATATTCACATTGTCTTTCTACATAGTAAGAACTCTCATCCGTACTCCAAATTCATACTGTCAATAACTAGAGGAGAGATATTTTGGTGGCAGAAATTGTTTTTAAGAGTGCTGGTAGTAAGTCCAAGATGCTTTTCAATTAGAGCACTTTTGGTCATTTGCACATTTCTGCATTTGAATATGTTCCATGAAATTACAGGTTTCTGACTCCATTGAAAAATAGCTTTTTTTGGCCTTAGATTCTGTGACACTTTCAATGCTACTTTTTGGCTTTCTTTTTCTTAAAGAAACCTTATTCAGAATCATCCTTTTCTCTTTCAACCACC